CTCCCTCTCCCTCTTCCTTCCTCTCTGAAATTAATTTAAAAAATGTATATATATAAAATAAAAAAAAACAACTAGGGCAGAAGCCATGTAGTCTTGTTCCTTGCGCAGCAGCAGAAAGACTAAAGTTTTTGCAGTGGCCATCAGGCATTTCCCTACAAATTATCTAACTCTTTGACAACTAGTGACAAGTCTGAGAGCAAAGGATAACTTTCTCTGACCTTCAATCCTCCAGCTCTTCTAATGGGTTGGTAAAACTGAAATAAATTCCTTCCTGCTTGAAAGAAATATCTATAGTGGTTTCTTTTCCCCCTGATTGATTCCCAGCTGACACGATGACAAAGACAAGGAGAGCCGGGAAGATAAATGTGCTTTGACATGAAATTGTTTAAAGAAGGTCCCACATGGTGATGGCAGAAGGTGACAGCTCTGAGAAGAGAGAGGAAAGGGTCAATAACCTCAGCCTACAGCAGAGAATAAAGGATTCAAGAGCCCTTCAAGGAGAGGTGCCTGGGGAGAGCAGTCTAATTTGTTTACCACTGTATTCCTAGTGCACAGCACAAGCTTGAGATAGAATTTATAGACGATAAACATCCTACCTAATAATAGAGTGATCCTACCTAATAACAGTGATATGCAAATAAACCATCACTCAGCTACACCCACAAAGCCACGCCCACAAGCCAATCAAAGTGAGAATGCAAATTAACCCAACAAAGATGGCTGTTAATTTGCATACGCAAAGGGAGGGAGGAGTGAAGACTGAAGACAGCATAGAAGGAAGAGAGAGGGAAAGTGGAAAGCAAGGTGGTTGCAGCTGCTGGAGGGAAAGCACTGGCAGAGTGTGCAGGGTGGGGTGGGGCGAGGCACGCAGCAGTGGCAGCAGCAGGAATCAGTGGGGGGCTGCAGGTGCAGCAGGTCAGGTGGGCGGGGCGAGGCACGCAGTGGTGGTGGCAGCCCTGCTCATCGCAGCGAGGTGGCGGTTGCAGGAGGGAAGCCCACCAGAAGTCTTGCAGGAATATTCCTGCAACAGGTTGCTAGTCTATATATAAAAGCCTAATATTGATATGTAAACTATCCCCCCAGGAGGTCGATAACTCGCTATGACATGTGCTGACCACCAGGGGGTGGCATGGAACAAAGGAAGGCCCTGGCTGGCAGCCCTAGGGACCCTCTAGTCAGTGTTTAATAAATGCATGGTCTACTCTAGTAGAAAACTATGTCTTCCTCCGTGCTTCAATTAGGATACTTTTGGTTGCAAGTAATAGAAAATTCAACTCAAATAAGCATAAGTAATAAAGGAATTTATTATTCCACATAACTGAAATTTTTGTTTTCAGAGCTATGCTGAAACTTGATATTAAAACTTCAGGCAAAGTTCCTCTTGCCAGGCGTCCTCGTGGGAGTGACATCGTCTTTAAACCCTGCGTGGCAATCCCTGACGCACCGCCGTGATGCCCAGGGAAGACAGGGCGACCTGGAAGTCCAACTACTTCCTTAAGATCATCCAACTCCTGGATGATTATCCAAAATGCTTCATTGTGGGAGCAGAAAACGTGGGCTCCAAGCAGATGCAGCAGATCCGCATGTCCTCCTGCGGGAAGGCAGTGGTGCTGATGGGAAAGTACACCATGATGTGCAAGGCCATCCAAGGACACCTGGAGAACAACCCCGCCCTGGAGAAACTGCTGCCTCACATCCGAGGAATATGGGCTTTGTGTTCACCAAGGAGGACCTCACTGAGATCAGGGACATGCTGCTGGCCAATAAGGTGCCAGCTGCTGCCCCTGCTGGTGCCATTGTCCCGTGTGAAGTCACTGTGCCAGCCCAGAACACGGGTCTGGGCCAGAGAAGACCTCCTTCTTCCAGGCTTTGGGCATCACCACTAAAATCTCCAGGGGCACCATTGAAATCCTGAGTGATGTGCAGCTGATTAAGACTGGAGACAAAGTGGGAGCCAACGAAGCCACACTGCTGAACATCTCCCCCTTCTCCTTTGGGCTGATCATCCAGCAGGTGTTTGACAATGGCAGCATCTACAACCTGGAAGTGCTTGACATCGCAGAGGAAACTCTGCATTCCGGCTTCCTGGAGGGTGTCCGCAATGTTGCCAGCGTATGTCTTCAGATTGATTATCCAACTGTTGCGTCAGTTCCCCATTCTATCATCAATGGGTACAAGCGAGTTCTGGCTTTGTCTGTGGAGACTGATTACACCTTCCCACTTGCTGAAAAGGTCAAGACCTTCTTGGCTGATCCATCTGCTTTTGTGGCTGCTGCCCCTTGGTCCTGCTGCTGCCGCAGCCCCAGCCAAGGTCGAAGCAAAGGAAGAGTCGGAGGAGTCGGATGAGGATATGGGATTTGGTCTCTTTGATTAATTACCAAAAAGCAACCAGCTCAGCCAACTATTTGAAGGAAATAAAGGCTTACTTCTCTTTTAAATAAATAAATAAATAAATAAATAAATAAATAAATAAATAAAACTTCAGGCAAAGCTTGACATTCCTAAAAAATATATATACGGTTGGATTGTATTCTACCTGGACCCATCTCTGTATAGCTGGGGCTAGGCACAGGAACTACTTTTAGTGAGAGTCACTGGATAGATGTAGACTGCACAATGGTAAGACATATCCAAATGACTCCGCTTACTGATAGAGGACCCCATTTATTTCAATAAGTCCCACCTTCCTCTGGGCAAAGATATTTATTCCTTGGAACTAGTGCAGGTAAGGAAGGGTGTGGTTATGCTTCTGCCCTAGGACCTGACCCACAGAATTTCCCATCGCTACTGAAACGAATGATACAAAACCTAGATCCCACTTTCTTTTGCCTCCTCCAGGACTTCACTCATTAAATTATTCCCTCTTGCTTCTACATAATCAGAATTTCCATCTTTACTTGATTGTTTCCATGCACTCACAAGCATGCTATAATTTATCTTAAAATTGTACCTCTCTTGAACTTTACATCTTCCTCTGGTTATTACCCTATTTCCCAGGTCCTCTTTACAGAAAAAAAAAAAAAAAGAAAAGAAAAAAAGATTTCTTATAAAGTTGTATGTCTGTGGAGTCCCGATTGCCTCTTTCATTTTCTCTTGAGCTCATTTTATTTTTTCATTTACTTTTAAAATATATTTTATTGATTTTTTTTACAGAGAGTAAGGGAGAGGGTTAGAGAGCTAAAAACATGGATGAGAGAGAAACTTCAACCAGCTGCCTCCTGTACACCCCCTACTGGGGATGTGCCCGCAACCAAGGTACATGCCCTTGAAGGGAATCTAATCTGGGACCTTTCAGTCTGCAGGCCGACGCTCTATCCACCGAGCCAAACCGGTTTCAGCTTGAGCTCATTTTAATCAAACTTTTATGCATATAACTCCACTCATATAGCTCTCATCAAGATTACTAGTGATGAGGGTAAAGGGAGATAAATAGTGATGGAAGGAGACTTGACTTGGGATGGTAAACACACAATATAATATACAGATGAGGTATTACAGAATTGTACCCCCTGAAACCTATCATTTTTTTAAATATATATTTTTTATTTATTTCAGATAGGAAGGAAGAGAGAGATAAAAACATCAATGATGACAGATAATCATTGATCTGCTGCCTCCTGCACATTCTCTATTGGGGATCAAGCCCACAACTTGGTCATGTGCCCTTGATGAGAATCAAACCCAGAATCCTTTAGTCTGCAGGCCCACCTCTATCCACTGAACCAAACCAGCTAGCACTGAAACCTATAATTTTATTAACCAGTGTCACCCAATAAATTCAATTAAAACATAAAAGATCACTAGTGGTTATTTTTCAGTCCTCATCTTTGTTTCTCAGCAGCATTTGGCACAATTGATCATTCCTCTGTTTTTCACTTGGCTCCCAAAACCCCACGCTTATCACACTTTTTCTCCTGTCTCGCTGCTCCTCAGTCCCATCAGCTGGTTCCTCCTCCTGTTCCTAACATCTAAAGGTGGAGTGTCATGAATCAGTCCTCCCACTTCTTCTCTATTTATACACGCTCCCTGGATGAGATCATCTGGTCCAATAACTTTAAAAATAATGTATTACAAATGGAAGTATTTACAAGGAAAACACTAAATATATAAAATCTGTTTTAAACTACTCCAACCAGGGCATAGTGGGAGAATGTGGGACAAGACTAACAAAATATTAGTAATTGATTAAGCTAAGTAATGTGTACATGAATATTCATTACATTATTATCTCTACTTTTGTGTAAGCTTAAACATTTTTCATAATATAATAAATATGCATACAATCTATGTATGGAATATTTCTTTTCTTTTTCTTTTTTAAATATATTTTATTGATTTTTTTACAGAGAGGAAGGGAGGGAGAGATAGAGAGCTAGAAACGTCGATCAGAGAGAAACATCGACCAGCTGCCTCTTGCACACCCCCTACCGGGGATGTGCCTGCAACCACTGTACATGCTCTTGACCGGAATCGAACCCGGGACCTTTCAGTCCGCAGACCGACGCTCTACCACTGAGCCAAACCGGTTCGGCAATGTACAGAATATTTCTATGTTTATGCTTCCAGTCCTGAAAGCATAAACTTTTTCCCTAAACTTCAACATGTATTTTCACCGGCCTACCCAACATTTCTACTTGCTTAACAGTCATCTCAAACTTAACATGTCTAAAGTGAATTCTGGGTCATTCCCCTCTCCACCACCCAGAAAACCTCTCCTAGAGTTCCCTGAATCTGTAAATGACATTGCATTCACCCAGTTGCTCAGACCAAAAACTTTGGAGTCATCCTGCTTGCCTCTCTTTCTTTTATAATTCACATCCAATTCCATCAGCAAAATGTATTTGGAATCTGACAAGTTTTCACCACTTTTACTGCTTCCATCCTTTGTCATTTTTTACCCTGAGCTCCTGCAAATGACTTCTAACAACTCTTCTTATAATACTTCCACTTTGGCCCCTAGAATTTGTTTTTCATCAAGCAGCCAGAGTGATTCTTTTTTCTGTGTGTGCACCATTCCCAAAGGTACTGCAATATTGGGTCGATGCATGGAGTGGACAGAGTAAGCTCCTATTCCATCTTCCTGCTCCAAAATCCATTTAATATATTTTTCTTGGATAGAGGACGTATCAGATATTAAACTGATAAGAACAGATATTACACTTGATCTTAACCAAAAGGCCAAGAAGCGATCAGAGTGATTCTTTAAAATGTGGATCAGCCCTAACCAGTTTGGCTCAGTGGATAGAGTGTCGGCCTGGAAGTGAAGGGTTCCAGGTTTGATTCCAGTCACGGGCATGTACCTTGGTTGCAGGCACATTCCCAATAGGGAGTGTGCAGGAAGCAGCTGATTGATGTTTCTAACTCTCTAACCCTCTCTCTTCTCTGTTAAAAAAAATAATTAATTAAATATATAAAAATGAATGAATATGTAAAAAACAATATTCTTACAATGGCCATGTTATTTGTACTCAGCTTCCAGCCTCACATACCTGACTACATCTCTTACCAGCATTCAGGGAGCTCCAGCACAATGGCTGCCTGCTATTCCAGGAACCCACCAAGAAACTCCCACCTTGAGGTATTTGGTACAGGGGAGAGCAAAGAAAATTGTACTACATCTAAGAATCTAAAGGCTGTAGCTCCATGTTTAGATACTGAAAATGAAATATTCTTAAATTTCAGCTCAAGAAAATATGATTATATAAAGCTAAGTTGTTAACTATGAGCCATGTATTGAATAAAGCAGCAAAATAAAATAATCTTAAGTGATTTTAAAACACTTATGCTAACCCATCCAGCATGATTCAGTGGTTGAGTATCAACCTATGAACCAGAAGGTCATGGTTCAATTCCCAATCAGGGCACATGCCCTGGTTGCAGGCTTTCAGTACGGGGGTGGGGGGGTGGGGAGTGGGGGTGGTCCTCAGTCCAGCCTGCACTCTCTCCAATCTGGGACCCCTTGGGGGATGTCCGACTGCCAGTAGATTGGGCCTAAACCGGCAGTTGGACATCCCTCTCGCAATCTGGGACTTTTGACTCCTAACTGCTTCTGTACCCGCCTGCTTGATTGTTCATTTTTACAGAGAGGAAGGGAGAGAGACAGAGAGCCAGAAATGTCGATGAGAGAGAGACCAGCTGCCTCTTGCACACCCCCCACCAGGGATGTGCCTGCAACCAACGCACATCCCTTGACCAGAATCAAACCTGGGACCCTTCAGTCCGCAGGCTATCCACTAAGCCAAACCGGTTTCAGCAGGATTTTAATTTTTATTTAGAATTATCTATATTCTAGTAGCCCTGTGTACAAATCCGTGTGCAAGTAGCTTGCCACTAGCTTGTTGCCACCCTACAGAAACTCTCCGCCTGCTGCCCAGCCCTCCTCTATCTCCCTCCTTGCCTCCAAACACCCCAATAGCTTGCTGCCCTGTTCCCTTCTGTAGTTCTTTGTCGCCCGCTTATAGCTCGCTGCTCCACCCTCCTGCTGATCCGTGTTCTGGTTGTTCACAGTGTAACGACCATTTGCATATTACCTTTTTATTATCTATACTAATAAAAAGGTAATATGTGATTTAGACCAGGAGACCTTCCTAGGAGACTTTCTGGATATCCTCCCAGAGAAAGCCATGGTGGTGGGGTCAAGGCAGAAGCAGTTAGGGGCAATCAGGCCAGGAGGGGAGGACAGTTGTGGGGAATAAGGCTGGGGGGGAGGCCAATTGGAAGCAAGCATGCTGATGGGGGGGCAGTTGGGGGCAAGTTGGGGGCGAGCAGGCTGTCAGGGGACAGTTGGGGGTAAGCAGGCTGGCAGGCAAAGTGGTTAGGGGCAATTAGGCAGGCAGGCAGATGAGCAGTTAGGAGCCAGCGGTCCCACATTGTGAGAGAGATGTCTGACTGCCAGCAGTTGGACATCTCCTGAGGGGTCCCAGATTGGAGAGGGTGCAGGCCGGGCTGAGGGACACCTCCCTCCCTCCCTCCCCCCCTGCACGAATTGATTTAAATAAAATAATTAAAAGAATAAAACATGGGACCTCTCACATTTATTATATTTATTAACTACTTGTTGGTCTTTGCCTCCAGCAAAGTTTCACCACCATTTAAAGGTAACAAAACATCCTCCATCTCCCAAACTATCATTGCACTGCCTTTGAATCTATAATTCTTTCAAAATAAATTATTATTATTAGTATGTAATTTTATTCATTTTAAAAGTGAGGAAGGGAGAGTGAAACATGCACGTGTGATAGAAACATAGTATGTTCCTGACCTGGAATCAAACTGGAAACCTTTTGATATAGAGGATGATGCTGTTGTACATGCCAACTGAGCCACACCTGCCAGAGCAAAAATAAATGTTGTTATTTTGTGTGAAATAAATAAATAAATAAATAAAAGAATAAAACATGAAAGTATTGGATTTTTAAAATAATGAGTTCCATTGAAGTATAATTTTAAGACAATAAAACACCTACTTAAGTGTATAGCTCAATGAATTTTGACAAAAGTATGTATACATGTAACTAGGACTACAATTAAGATAAGAATTGAATAGAACATTTGTAGAATTATAATTGATAGAACATTTCCATCATTCCAAGAGGTTCTGTTGAAAGGGCAGAGCAGGACTGATTACATTTTGTACTGTGTCCTCCATCTTTGTAACTATGTCCCCAACATGATCCCTTTCCGAGAAAAACCACAGAATGTGTCAGTTACCCAACCCACCCTTAAATCAGCCAATAGAAATGCAGAGGGAAGTAACCCAGCGTAACTGGACCCTGGCCCGCACCCCACCAGTTGGAACCAGCCAACTTAGTGGTCCGAGCATCACCCCACCACCCAACCCTAAGCCCTATAAAAAGGCTATACTTTCAGAACTTGGGGCTCTTTGCATCCTGCCACTGCGTCGGTAGAGGCGGAGAAACCGGGCTCAAACTTGAATAAAGGTTCTTTGCTTTTGCAGCGGGCTCAGCTCCCTGGTGGTCTTTGGGGATCTTGAAATCTGGGCATAACACTGTGCGCCCCTTCTGTGTGTGTGTGTGTGTGTGTGTGTGTGTGTGCCCCCTTCTTAATCAATTTCTATCCTCCACCCCTCACCATTGGTAACAAATTAATTACATTATCATCTACTAATGGATTTTTAATATATTTAACTACAATATTTAATTAATTAACAGAATGTCTTAATAATATTAATAGTATTTTATTATTAAACCCAAAAGCAAAGGACTGTCTACAAAACAGTGCATAGTTTTGAAACAGGAATTTTTAGGGGTGAAAAAGACAGGTTTAGGAAATTTTAGAAATTAAGGGGACCAAGGAAGGAAGCACAGGACTGCAGAGCAAAAGAAGGTATATTTCCATTGGATAGGGGAGTTGAAAAGCTGCTACAGGTCCATTGCCATAGAATAAGGAAGCTAGAAATAGCACAAGGTCTGTATTTACAAAATAAAGGAAGGAAGCCCCTCTTCCAGAGGAGAAGAAAAAAGCCCAAAGGGAATAGGAGAACAAGGAAGGAGTGGAGGGAAACCTCACATGTCCCATGTTCCTTTATAAACTGTGGAAAAGGGAACTCAGTGGGACTCTTTTCCATTCCCCATATGGGAGTCTGTACTTGTTCTTCAATAAATTTCCATTTTTGCTACACTGTCTTCCATCTATGGATTCATTCTTCGACTCCAGCAGACAAAGAGCCCGGGAACCATCCTGCCTAGGGGAACACCTCGTGTTTCAGTCCAAAAATTCCGCTTCGCTTTCACCACGTTCTTATTTCTTATTTCTTTTTTTAAATATATTTTATTGATTTTTTACAGAGAGGAAGAGAGAGGGATAGAGAGCTAGAAACATCTATCAGCTGCCTCCTGCACACCCCCTCTTGGGGATGTGCCTGCAACCAAGGTACATGCCCTTGACCGGAATCGAACCTGGGACTCTTCAGTCCGCAGGCCGACTCTCTATCCAACCCAGTTTTGGCCACCACGTTCTTATTTCAATCCATTTTTTCTGATTCTCTTTATTATTAAAGAATACATTTGTCATGTGGCATAAAAAAGGTGGAAAGTTTGCCTTATTTTCAAGAAAAATAATAGCAGTTGATATTTATTGATCTATTTTTCTTAACTGATCCTCACAACAACTCTGACAGGGGTATTTATTATCTTCATTTTATTTTTAAAATTTTTCTGTTTTTTTATTTTTTATATATCTTCATTTTATATGTGGCTCAGAAATACCTCTGATCTCACCTAAGTATAATGAACACAAATATATCCAACATTTAGCAATATCCCAAATCTCCAAGCTCTAATCAATGAGGTCTCCTTCCCAGTTCTCTGAAATAACTGGAACTGAAAGGGCAGGACAGGACCAACTCCATTTTGTTCTGTATCTTCCATCTTGTGTAACTATGTCCCCAGCATGACCCCTTTCTGAGAAAAACCACAAGAATGTTCCAGTTACCTAACCCACCCTTAGGAATGCAGAGGAAAATATCCTGCCATCTGAGCAACTGGATTCTAGCCCTCACCCAACCAATCGGAATCAGCCACCTCAGTGGTCCGAGCATCACCCCACCATCCAATCCCAAGCCCTATAAAATTGCTATACTTTTGGAACTTGGGGCTTTTTGCATCCTGCTGCTGCGTCCGTAGAAGCAGAGAGACCGGGCTCGAGCTTGAATAAAGGTTCTTTGCTTTTGCATTGGTCTCGGCTCCCTGGTGGTCTTTGGGGATCTTAAAATCTGGGCATAACAGAACTACCACTGTTACTTTTCTGCTCATGAATTGCTGAACTTTGTGGAAGTCTGTTGAAACATAGTGATCTCTATTTATAAAACTGCTGTTTGAAATGCTCTGTTATTTTAGATAGACCCTTATTCTGTGAATTAACTCTGCTTATTAGCTTCTGTAAATATATGCTTTTTAGCTTACTAAAAAGAGAAAGAAAAGAAACTTAGCTGTCTGACTTGTAGGCTAGGGATTGATACTACCATACTCTCATGCCAGGTGTTTTAGTTATCTGAATAGAAACGTGTCGTACTTGCCCTGGCTGGTTTGGCTCGGTGGATGTGTCGGCCTGTGGACTCAAGGGTTCCAGGTTCAGTTCTGGTCAAGGGCATGTGCCTTGGTTGTGGGCACATCCCCAGTGGGGGGTGTACAGGAGGCAGCTGATCGATGTTTCTCTCAATGATGCTTCTA